CTATGTCACGGCACACTAGTGTGCCACGGCACAGTGGTTGAAAAACACTGCCCTAGATGATAGTGGTTAGGTCTTTCAGGATGGAAAAATGACCAAAAGGGTATTTAAGATTGTCCTGTAATTGATCTCATCATTATTAGGTGTATCAGTGAGGAGGATCCACTTCAAGAAAGTTTGTGCGTTTTAAGATGAGTCATTTTCATGGTACTTCATGCATTTCAAGCTTTTGTTTGCTTCATCCCATAATTTGAATTATCCTCAGGATGTATCTTTTAAGAATCTTAAGATTTATATTAGAAATATAATATTACTGCTTATTAGACATGATAGTTTCTTGAAATAGTTTGGAATTTGGGGCATTTGATTAGGCATCTATTTATTGTAGAATTTAGTTATACAATTTATAGACCACCTGATTCCCCACAACTCTGGGAGACTTGTAATTAAAAACCGGAAAAACACCAGATTTGAATCTTTAGAACTTTGTTGTTGCTTATTATTTGAAATAAATACTTCACTCTGCTTCTTGTCAATACTGTAATCTATAAAAGAATAGTATTAGACTGTGGAATTAAAGACATGTCCACACACATTCTGGAAGAGATCAAACTGTTTCCATGATTTTATTAAGAAAACTACATAATTTACTCCATGAAGTCATTAAAGTTGGATTTGAAAAAAAACTCAATATTTTTTTCTTTTATGGAGTCAGCTGGGGGCAAAGGATACCATGCTCTTTAGGGTTTAGCAGAGCCTTATTTGCATCCAGAACCAGACAGCTTTGCTGATTGGTGCAATGACAGCCATAAATTGCTTGATCAGGGCTTTAGCTTGATAACTGTGCCACTGCCTTTGGTTGATACTGTTGTCCCTTTCTTGTTCTGATCTGTGTAAGTCAATATATGGAAATTGTTAAATTGGGCTTGATAGCACATGGATACTAGTTAGGTATTTATATCGCTCAAATGTTTACCTTTGCTTTCTTATGATTCCTTCAGTCCCTTAAATGATAACCAGAACAGATGTGGCAGGGGCAGAAATAATTGCAGGGAATCAAAGGGTCTTTGCTTTAGCTTCTAGTAAGCCCCAATTGTAAAATCTTCTCCAAGGACAGCTTGGTTCTATACCTGTAGTGTAATATATCGAATGCATGGGGTTCTTTTTAAACTATTAGGTATTTCAAATATTACTTTGTAATTTGGTACAGTAAAGGATGTATGTGTTTCTGTATTTAAAATGATGCCTTTATTGTATTTCTAGGTTGAGCATCAATTATATTGTATCTGTTTTTTAGAATGTTTCACATTAATTTTTAATTGTGCTTTCAGTACATATTTAAATGGGACATGTTCGCACAATACACACACACACACACACACACACTGTATTCCATCCATCCATAAATAAGGAAAATGATAGTAATATTTATGCATAATTAACTGTCTTTATTGAAAATTTGGTAGACATTTACAGTTAGTCTAAGAGTAGGACTAGAAAGGGGCCATGAGCCTCTCGATTTGAAACCTAGGCTCTTTTTCCTGGGCCAGATTATATCTGACAATGGGCTTTCATATGCAAGAGTCCTAGTCTTGTCCACTGAGATCATGCGGCCTTGCAGGAAGTATCTGAAGAAGCAATCCAGAATTCATCCTGAAAGGTATTCCATGCCTTGCTTAGGATAATCTCCAGCATTTGTCCACTGAACTAATGGAATGTAAGTAAAGCTGCACATTCTAAAATGTCAGTACCTTTTAAGATGATCTCTTTAAAAGCAACTGCTTTGATCTGATTTGCTTCAGTTGGAAGGGATTAAAAGGTGGTAGGGGGATTGTGGTGATTGTCACAATCTAAGCTCTGTCCCTTTTGTATATGTACGCAGCATTGACACATAACCAAAGAGTTAACCTGTGACATCATCTTGTAGATTTTAACCTCCCCCCCCCCCCAACACACATGTACTCTGTATATGTTGCTAGTTAAAAAGATTATTTTACAAAGGTTTTCTTAACTCTGTTTTATTAAGTGGAAAGCCCAGGCTGGACAAATTTAAATTTACCCAGAGCCTGGAAGATATGGATCTAATGGAAAGAAACTGGCTACATGACTCCAGCAAGACAAAGTTGCTACACAATTTGGAGGTCTTTCTACACTAGAGACTCCTGCTCAAAGAGTAGATGGCAGTCATATCCAGAGGGGCCTTTGCACAGCTGCACAATTGTAGAACTGGGAGATCTTGCTCAGAGTCAATGATGCCCAAGTCACTTCCCATTTGGATTATTATTATAATGCACCCTACATAGGGCTGCCCTGTAAAGCCACCTGTAACTGTAGATTCAGTTCAATCCAGAATGCAGCAATGTGTGCAGTTCTGGACACCCCACACTGTTGCACCAGCTGTACAGGCTTCTTTCAAGATTCTGGTTATCCAGAAGGTGGCGCAGTGGTTAAATGCAGCACTGCAGGCTACTGCTAGATCAGCAGGTCAGCGGTTCAAATCTCACCGGCTCAGGGTTGACTCAGCCTTCCATCCTTCCGAGGTGGGTAAAATGAGGACCCAGATTGTTGGGGGCAATATGCTGACTCTCTGTAAACCGCTTAGAGAGGCCTGAAAGGCCTATGAAGCGGTATATAAGTCTACTGCTATTGCTATTGCTATTGCTATTGCTATTATAATTTTTAAAGCCTATCTGGCATGGAACCAGTTATCAGTTATCTTCCTCTCCCAGAGGACATCTAGCCACCCCACTATATTGGAATAGGTGGGATTTACTGTAGCCCCCCCCCCTACCTTTTTCACCTGGTGGGTTCTAGAAAGCAAACCTGTCTTGTAGATGTGCCTAAATTATGGATCTGCTTCCCCTCTGAAGTGGAGGGCACCAAACATCCTCACCTTCCCAAAGGCTGTTAAGATGAACCCTGTATTGGTGGTTTAATGGGATTGTTATGGTGCTTGATGGTATCAAAGGGTTTTGCATTTTTTTTTGTATCTTGTTATCAGTCTCTTTGTTGTTTGGAAAAAGAAATCTATAATTAATCTATTTGTTATTAGCCGCCTACAGTTACTTTATATAATATGGCAGCTGCATCAATCTTTTAAAACATCAGATGCATAAATTTAATATGTCCATCTATGCCAGAAGAGTGAATTGCAGAAGTGAAATTTATCAGCAATTTAAAGTTCTTTAGATGGGCTATTTAGGTCTTTCTACCTGTCTAATGAATATCAATTTTCAAAATGTAGATTATGTTATTAAAATGGCATCATTTATGCCCAAAAATGTGAATGAACATGAATTTTGCTTTCAGCTGTAAATTCTATATGAAGGATGGTATTACAGTGTATATGAAATTATATTTGTAGCAAAACAGATGAACACTGTTTTCTGCTATTTTCTTAGGTTGGAAGCCTCGCTGGTTTGTTCTGGATAACGGGATATTGTCCTACTACGATTCACAGGAAGATGTTTGTAAAGGCAGCAAAGGAAGTATAAAGATGGCTGTTTGTGAAATCAAAGGTAAGGTTAGCAGTGAGGCATTGGCCTTTTGTTTTAGTCTGTACTGTTAGGCTTGGTTCTAAATTGCTTACTTATAGGAACACACAATATGGAGCCATAACAACTTTGGGGAGAAGAAGAATCCTAAGAAATGACAGGAGCTCAATTCTGGAATTAAACTTAGTTTTCAAAACTGAACATGTCCTTGAGACATCGTTTTTCCTTAGTTTAAAAGGATATTTGCCTCTGTTCCTGATTCCATAGCTCACCTGCCTTTGGTGGCAATATTTAATAAAACACAAAGAACATCTAAGCAGGTGTAGTCTACCTTTGAACACAAACCCTTGAATCTGAAGAATGAAATATATGTTAATATCACAGAAGGACAAAAAAAACCAGCACTAATTACACAAGTATGGCATATCTTTCTGTTATCCTTCTGCAATGCCATGCTTGGGGGGGGGGAGGGGCTTTTGCAAGTGAATTGGTGCTGGTCAGCATTGCTTTCTCAATCCTTTATCTAAAGTAACACATTTTATATTAAAACAAATTTAAAAATCTTTTATTATATTGATTAAATTGTACATCCTCCAGAGCCTCTCTGCATGGGTGATGGGCAGTTAAATTTGATATATGAATACATACATTTTATTTAGCTAACACTTTTCTTATTCTAGGTGATTTAAGAAAATGTATAAGCTTATTTTATGTTTTCTCTTTTTCCTAAGTTCATCCTATAGATAGCACCAGAATGGAGCTAATAATTCCAGGAGAACAGCATTTCTACATGAAAGCTGTTAATGCTGCTGAGCGACAAAGGTGGCTAGTAGCCCTTGGGAGCTCCAAAGCTTGCCTGACTGATGCCAAAACTAAAAAAGAAAAAGGTGCATATGTTTTCTAAAATATTATGGAATTCTTAAAAGCTACTTTCTTCAAAACTATCAAAAGTACATGTAATTTTATTTCTTTTTCTTTCATGGTTAGAAAGCATGATTCATTTCCTTCGTGTTGAACAGTAGGGGAGCTTTTGTAGCTTTGCTTAACAAAATAACAGAGTTGGAAGGGACCTTCTAGTCCAATCCTCTGCTCAAGCAGGAAAGCCTAAACCATTTGAGGCAAATGACTGTCCAATCTCTTCTTAAAAGCCTCCAGTGATGGAACACCCATAACTTTGAGAGGCAAGCCATTCCACTGGTTAATTGTTCTCACTGTTAGAAAATTTCTTCTTAGTTCTAGATTGCTTTTGTCTTTGATTAGTTTCCATCAATTGCTTATTGTCCTGCCTTCAAATGTTCTGGAGAATAGGTTGACCCCCTGTTCTTTGGGGAAGCACCTCAATATTGAAACACATCATGACACTCCTGGTCCTTCTTTTCACTAGACTAGCCATATCCAATTCCTGCAAACATTCTTCATGTGTTTTAGCCTCCAGCCTCCTAATCATCTTTGTTTGAAACTTCTAGGCACTTTTATAGTCTTCAGGCACTCAAAATTAAGACATTTTTTGTGGAAGGTTCACAGTACAATAGATCTGATTCAAAAAGAAGTACGAAGACATATAGTCAAGAGGAAAACAAGTATTAGCCAAGTAAAAAGGGGCAAGGCTGGTTTATTATATTATTCTGACACAGAGTGGCCCTTGCTCTTTTCACCTAGAAGTAAAGGGTAGCTTGCTTTTTAGTTCTGCAGAATTTGGGAACTGGTGCAGAATGTTCTGCTTCCCCCACTCCTGCCATTGATGCATGCCTCCATTGTTAATGTGATGCTGTCCTGCATACACAGAAATGCTTGCAAATAGGGCTCCCCCAGGCAGTATGCAGTTGGGGACTGTACAGGGTTCCTTCTATTAGATAGAAATCCTCCATCATAGACTACTTCACAAAAGGGGTGAATGTGTGGTTGGGGTGCATACTGTCATTGGGAGTTTTTCTCAGTTATATGTATTGAGATCTGTTCATTTTGTCGAGTTGATTTTGTTGAGATGATTTTACTTCAAAGTAAAAGCCACTGCTTTTGTGGAGCCTGTTTCAGGGCACACATAATTCTATTGCCTTTAACAACAATGAATACACAGATAGTCCTCAACTTATGACCATAATTGAACCCCAAATTTCTGTTGCTAAGAATGATATTTGTTAAGTGAATTTTGCCCCACTGTGTGACCTTTTTGCTGCTGTTAAGTGAATCACTTGTTAAATTAGTAACACGATTGTTTAATGAATCTGGCTTCCCCAATGACTGCTTGTCAGAAGATCATAAAAGGGGATCACGTCCTGGGACATTGCGATCATCTGAGTGAGTACCCAAGTGCCTGAATTTTGATCACATGACCATGGGGATGCCGCGATTGTCATAAGTGTGAAAAACGGTCATGTCACCTTTTTCAGTGTGACTGTAACTTCAAAAAGTCACTAAATGAACTAATGTAAGTGAGGACTACCTGTACTATATAATAGATTAGAATATGTTAGTCAGGTGAAGAAAAATTGGATAATAATTCTTGGAATCCTTCCCTTCAGAGAACCTAGATACTTAAGAAAACTGAAGATTTCGGAGTGATTCTGCAGTTATACAGACTGTAGAAGAAGGCAAAATTGAGCCTTGAATACTAATACATTTTATGGAACCAACATAGCCATCAGTCACTTTTGCGGGGTGCATCAAAACAGTTATTTAGGAAGTTCTGCACACTTAGTAGGTCCATTTGAAAAAAATATATTTATGAATTTCAAAATAGAGGCAAAATTGGAAGCTGACAAAAAGACCAGAAGTTTAACAAGTTGCAGTCAATTTGAATGAGATTAAACATGAATATTGATTTTTATTTTTGCTGAGGGCACTTATAACCATGATTAGTAAGTTTCTGGTTTTTTATATTCTTCCAGAAATAAGTGAAACCAACGAATCTCTAAAAACCAAAATGTCTGAACTGCGTCTCTATTGTGACCTCTTGATGCAGCAGGTCCATACAATACAAGAATATGTACATCATGATGGGAATCATTCCTCACCAAGCATTGAGGTAATATTTAATTGTTTGAAGGAGTTTTTAATTCACCCATTTTAAGTTCTTGGATTATAAGGATGTGCAATAGTATCATGGTGGATTTATAGCTTTATCTGAGAGTACCCTAACAGTCCATCGCTGCCATACTACCAGTAATAATTGAATCTCACATATATACAAAATATTTCAGATTATATTTTTAAATGTTTATTGTTCCCTAGCAAAATATCACCTACAAGAAAGTGTCTACAAAAATGAAGACACTTGAAGCATGTAACAAAACTGTTGCAATGTTTTCATGTTTAGGATTCCAGATTTTATCACATTCTATTCCTCTCCCTTTTCTCCATGTCTCACAGTTTTTCGTTTGTTTGTTTCTGTCCTTGGAATGGAAAGAATTGACATTTTATTTCCATTTGCTGTTTTTTCTGCAGCTGTTTTGTGAAAAAAGTGGGTCTCCCAATGGGCTTGTGGGAATAACTGTGTGTGTGTGTGTGAGTGTGTGTGCGTGTGTGCGTTTGTATATGGGTGCATTGTTTTAATTTACTTCCTTCTGCACCTTATAAAGGTAGGTTACTAAATTAAGAGCTCCACATCTAACATCTCCAAGTTATTTAACAGATAGCAAATAGGAAAAGCCTCTTAACAAGTTAATCTTGTTGAAAATTGCGTTTATTTTACCCAGAAAACTAAAGGAATTCTATACCATATATGTGTATCTTGTTTCATTGCTTTTAAAATGGAGTTAAATTTATATTAACCATCTGAGAAACATTTTTAGAAGTCATTAAACCAAGATAATTTTAAAAAATCAGTAAATAATTGCAAAACTCATGGGTTAACATATCAAAATTATTACTGAATAATATGTAGTCTTATCTACCCAATTTATAGTTTAATTAGACATCTTAAACATTTGTATTAAAATAATAAGATTGGGATAGATGCATCTAGATTATCTATGAAATACAATGCAACTTCTGGAGGCAATACTATTTTCTATTTTATTTCAATTATCACATTATCAACAGTATTTTCAGAATTTCTGTTGACAAAATTAGAATGTTGGAAGGCTAATTATTTAAACATATTTATGTAATTTATGTTGAGATTTTGCGTTGTAGATTAAAAAAAGAAAATACACTATTAGAATATATTCTAGTTGCTCAATAAATGTACCTACTTAACCATACCATACTTAAGATATGAATATCCAGACTTTTGTGGAGTCCATTTTCTTCAGATCAATATACTCCTCCTACCTTATAAAACCTTTCTCAGCATCTAAAGAAATAACTATGTGCTTCTGCCTGTTTTGAAATAAAGCCATCAGTTAGAAATCCAATATCATCAGAATCTTGGCAGCCCCATAATATAAATCCACTTTCAGTTGAAAGTAAAATGAAAGGAAGTAAAAAGTACAGACCCCAGACCCAACTTAGAATACATCTTTAAAAGATAGTGATTTTAGAATCTTCACATTTTATAAAAATCACAAATAATAGATAAATTGTTATGTTGTTTCATTTGTGAAATGTAAAAGGCAGTAGCTCTTCTAGCCTCTTTTTGCATAGTTGCCTGCTCAGTTAAAATCCATTTCCAAACCATGAAAGCCATTACATTTGTATTTAACAAATTGAGAGATCTTTGTTCTCAGGAGATGGAGGTTAACAATTCTTTGATTTTAAGATTAATTTTGTTGTGATAATACAACCCTGAATGCCTTTACAATCTTTTATATCAAAGCAGGGGGGGGGGAATGCCATCCCTGCTGCAATGGAAAAGAGAAATAAAATCTGCCATCTCTGATTCAGGGGATGCATTTCGGGTTCACTTGCAAGAAACATAAACATTGACTCATAGAGTTAATGTTAGAGGCCATTTAGTTCATTAGCTCCAGCTCCTTGCACTGTTCATGTACTCTTGTATCCATAATGAATATGTTGGCTTGGGCTTCTCCAGTTTGCCAACATCTGAAAAGCTGCCTGCTCTCTCTCTTTTTAAATATTTCATAACCTTTCATCATGTCATAAACAAAGCATCAGAACAAAAATGTCTGAGGTGGTATAGTGGTACAGTCAACATTTGCACCCCACCCAGCCGTTAATAAAATGTTTAGTGTTCATCAGTGTAAGTTAAGTCCCTACAAACCAGCAATTGCAATTTTTGGTTTGCAATTAAATTACAGTTAAATTGGTGAAAAGTTTTGCTAGGAAACACTTTGCTCTGAGAGTTTTCAATACCTGCTCTTTCCTTTTGTTTTCAGAATATGAATGAAGCTTCCTCCTTGCTCAGTGCCACCTGTGACACATTTATCACTACACTTGAAGAATGTGTGAAAATAGCAAATGCCAAATTTAAGCCGGAGATGTTTCCGCTGCCTCATCCTGATCCTTTAGTTTCTCCTGTGTCTCCTTCACCAGTACAAATGGTTGGATATTCTTTAATGTCAAACATTCCTGAAGATTTGGGGAACTTTGGGAGGGAGCAGTATGGGATAAGCTAGCATGTGGTTCCTCAAGGTTGGCCTTGTTCATGTCACCAGGCTAGGCCTCTGCCCAATGTTATGAAAGCCTCAAACATTCTCAGGAAAACGTGCCTATTATTAAATGCCTTGTTTTAGAAACATGTACTTCTGATAACAAACTTGCATGTTGAGGAATGTATTACCTCATACTTTTACTGTCCAATAAACTCCATATTTGTCTATGAGCAAAAAATCAAGATAACCTATGGAGTTTAATGGAAATAGAGGACCTCCATGCCTGACTATTCCCAGCCCTAAACTATTCTATTCCCTTCCAAGCACTCATGGTTTCTTCTGAAACCTGGTAACCTCTGAAGCACAGAGTTTAGACCTGGCCTATTAATCCTCATTTACTTAAACATAGTGCTTCTAGGTCTCTTTACCATTGGAAAACTAAATACTAAAACCAACAATAGAAACAATAATGTATTTTTAAAAAATTATGATGTTAAAAATGCCATGTCCTTTATGTTCATATCATATATGCTTCTCCCTGTACATTCTGAAAAAATATTGTAAATACATATTTTAAAATAATATTTCATTAGAAATTATTATTTTAAAAGTTATAATAACCTGCTTTATTACTTATATTATTTTTTAGATGAAACGTTCTGTTAGCCATCCTGGAACCTGTACCCTTGAGAGGTAAGTATGAAGTTGTGATTAAATATTATTCCAAAATCAAACAAATTAGAACCATAATGTTAAAGTTCACTTATCACATTGTGAGATATTGTCCGATCCCAAATAAACAGGAATACTCCATGGTCTGGCAATTGAAATTCACAGCCTGTTGCCCCATATAATCTCACATTAATTTTGGAAAAATGCAGTTCTAGTGAGTTTCTCTTACATGATATAATTGAAAATTAATTAGATTAGAATTGAATTCACTATGACAGTTCTGTTTTGTCCTGGCAGTCCTCATTTAGTGACTGTTCACAGTTATGACCTTGTAAGTCAGGGCACTCAAAAGTGATATATCACATGACTGACTGGTGTACTACAGCAATCCCAGCACTCTGATTGTGGTTGTTAACAAAGAATTGCAGGCTGATAAATGAATACCCACCCCAATCCAATCCATTCTGGGCTTGGTCCCTCCCAGCCCCAAGCTTCAATAAGTTACGGGACTGCCTCCAACTCACCCCATCCACTTACCTCTCCCCCATCTCTGCCCTTTGGCCACCCTACACCCAGAACTGTCCAGTCTGCCCTAGCAAGTGTCAGCAACTAAGTTTGTTTGTTTAGCTGCCTTCTCTCCCAATTCGCTACACCAACCTTTTGCCTTTTTGTGCCCAGCTGCTGCAGCTCAAGCATCTCACTGCCTTTGATGTTTCCTTCTCAGACTCAGCTTCTTCAAGAAATGTTTCCTACAGGTGATTCCATGAGTGCTGTCTTTATAAATCTGTGCTGCCTGCTGGTGCTTGCTAGGCTTCATGGGTGCTGCATCTTGGCACTATGCTGCTAGGATGGGCCAGGAAGCCACGTAAGAAGCTGGGAAAGCTGGAGCACCCTGGGTAGCAGAGTGGCCTTAGGTCCAAAAAAGAAACAGCAAAAGGCAGCAAGGTGCTTCTGCTTTAGCAGCCGGGCACAAAAAGTGGAGGGTTGATATGAGGAATTGACAAGGCAGCTGAGTGAATTAAGGCTTGCTGAGTGGGTGAAGCTTCCCAGATGAAGACACAGTGCAGGGTGGCCAAAAAGTGTGTGTATGTAGCTAGGCAGATGGGGAAATTAAAGTGCCCCTGCAGTTGTAAATGTGGGCAGTTGCCAAATATCTGAATTTTGATAATCGAAGTTTGGGGTGCTGCACTGTCCATAACTTTGAGCATTTCATTTTCATTTTCATTTTATTAAAGCTTATAGGCCGCCCTTTTCCCTGAGGGGACTCAGGGCGGCTTACAAATCATGGGAAGGGGAGTGCAAGACAAAAAAGACATAAAACTGTGCGTGAATAATAAAAAAAGAAAAAATAACAATAAAACACAACTTTCACTCAACATTCGGGTGGGGCGGATTAGGATCTTATCCCCAGGCCTGACGGGCCAGATCTTAAGGGCTGTGCGGAAGGTCTGGACGGTGGTGAGGGTCCGAATCTCCACGGGGAGGTCGTTCCAAAGGGTTGGAGCTGCTACTGAGAAGGCTCTC